GTCACGCTTGGTTACGGAGGGTTAATACTACAGTAGAGCATTATTCTCCCCATTAATTTTTGTCATCTATATATCTATTTGTAATCTCTATAAAGTGTATTTATTTCGTAATTTTCAATTGGCTGTAAAGTAGAAAATTTTGTATTAATCAGTACATTATTATTACAGAATATATTTCCAAGCGACAGAAACATATTTTTTGATCAAAATTTTTCACATTGACACGTTATGGCTTTACCGTTCAAATATTTAATATTCAAATTTATTCTGTAATGCATTTTCTTCAATTTTGACACGTGATTAAAGATAAGGGGTCAAAATGTATTTAGGAATAGTTTTTATTGGTGATTTACATAAAATTTGAAAACTTCCTTACATCATTGAATATTTCTATATTTCGCACTATAATTCGAAGAAATGACAGTTTAACGTGGGTTAAGGACGACAGTATACGTCCATTGTGGATTTCTTGGCTTGCGTATTACGATAACAAAACGGAGCCTAGGATATGGTAAACGATGTTCTTAAATGGATTCGTATTCGCAGATGAAAAGAAGAAAACTACATTTTGCAGATATCTCAATAGGAAACTTCGCTCGGTTCTCGTTATTCTTTGAACGCTCCCTCTAATGGAACATCGAAAGAGGGGCCGTGTCAGACCTTTCCTCCGCATTGTATTCCAACAGTGCTCGCTATCTTCTCTGATAGAATGTGCATTCGTTGCACGAATGTCTCTCGAGAGTTCGATAATTATTACAGATATCGAGATGTATGCGTCGCCTTACGTGGCAAGGTAATTTCCGAAGTGGACTTTGCGTTACCTTGTGCGTCCATTATCTGACTTTATCTCTTTGTTTGGGGCTGAAAGTCGCGTGTCAAGGCTAGAACACTTTTGCAACTTTAATGAAGCCATTAATCAGTCGGTACCATCCTAACGAGTAATGATCAGAAACGTGTACTTCTATCGAACGTTGAACAAGAAATTCGAGGAATTAGAGTACTGAGAAGTAATTGAAGAGAATGAATAAAATATGTTAATGTCGATCATTCCCGAAAGAATACACCGATAATGTTTCAACGTAATATGTTTTTAATTGGCGAACATCGATTAAAGCGGTAACGACCGACAAGAACGAAAATATTATATTTAAATGTGGAATAAAAATTTGTTAACTTCTCTTTTCTTTCCAGCTAATTAGCTTGCTGTTTCAATGTTTCTCGATTTATTTCGTGCCGTATATACAGAGCGTATGGTGACCCCTGGGAAAAATTTTAATGAAAGATTCTAGAGGCCAAAATAGGACGAAAATCAAGAATACCAATTTGTTGATTGAGACTTCGTTAAAAAGCTATTAACGTTTAAAGGTCCGCCTGTAGAACGACAATCCGCAAACAGCTGCGTATGCGTGATAGTGGTTCTCACTCAGCGTGAGAAGATTGGCGTTCTACAGGCGGAACATTAAACGTTAATAACTTTTTAACAAAGCTTCAATCAATAAATTGGTATTCTTGATTTTCGTCTTATTTTGGCCTCTAGAATTTCCCATTAAAATTTTTCCCAGAGGTGGCCAAACACCTTGTATAAAAAATGTCTCTGAAGCAACTGTTGAAGCATCACGGAAAGCTTCCTCCGTTTTAAGGCACCGTTCCTCCCGAACTACGGCTAGCTCGTCAATTATTTCCTCTAATTAGTGCTAATGTCGAACGGAACTCGTTGCCCTTTTCCGTACAAGGAACGTTCGTTTCCGTGCGGTCGATGATCAGTATTATCGGAATAGTTGGTGCTTCCTGCGGCAGTCGGCACCGGTCCCAGTTAATCAATAGGAGCCACAGGTATGCGAGCACATGCACGCAGCTTTATCGTCAAGTGTCTTGTTGGAGTAGTCATCGAAAATGTCAATGACAGGACGGTCAATTGCTTGCGAAGCGAGTGGAATCTCGTTGGTCCGAAAAACTCCCCTATCGTGGAGAAAGAATACGGTAATTTTTTGTCGAACGTTAGACCTAGGGAACCAGTCAGTTTGTTGGATTTCAGGCTGCGTATTTAAATTGGGAACTTATAAACATCCAGATAAATGTACCGACGAGTGGCCAGCAGAAATAATGTACCAAAATCATTGATGCTAATATTAATCATTGCTAAACACATGTGTGAGGCAGGAACAATATTTTGACTAGTTTATATCATTTAATCATACAGCTTCAGGCAATAAAAATGATGTCAACGGAATACTTTCTTTAAGACATTTAAAAAATTGTTTGCAATATTACAGTTGCGTATGCAAAAAGTTTTCGTTAATCCACTCGCTGCCAAGCCTAAATTATAGGAAGTTGCTCCTATTGCCATTTCTGTTTTGAGTTTATTGTTTACGTTTTGTTATTTCTTGATAGGTACACATATTTTGTCGTAAATAATCGTTTACGCGCATTTTATACTTATGTCTGTGGCAACAAAAGGTTTACAAATTCAAAAGACTTTATGTTATAACATATTTAAGTTACTTACTTAAGTTAGTTACGCGAGCATACAGCGAATGGGTTAATTTTTTACGATTTAGTTCAAGATGAACTACATGTTAAGAAGACAATTATTATAATATTATCTTTGTTTATGAGCGAATGGATTATAAGATCCTGGACATAATTTCTAAATTTAAAAAGCATAATATTTCATAGAAAAATGTAAGAATTTTGCGGTAACATTGTCGTAACACGTATAAATTTACAAAATTTATAAGAGTTTACATCTTCGTGCTGATCAAATAATAACAATAAAAAAATAGCAGCTGAAAAAATATTGGTGTCTAATATGTTTCAGTGCTCTACCAATGTACCAAGTCGTACAAAAAACCGGAATATGGCTGGTGGTATCTCGTATTCACACGTTCACGGACAGACAAAATTTTAATAAACTGCAAAAATAGACAAATGATTTACGTAAAGTGATGCAATCCTTCTTAATTCACGCGATGTAGTAGATAAAAGAAGTTTTTAAATACACAAAGACAAAATAAAATGAAAATATTCAGAGTAAATAATAATTTAAAAAAATAATAACAATATAAAATTGAATGCATTATAACGTGACTTATGGATTTTAATGTTATAGCTTTCATGTCATTTTGCATAGCAATAAAAATGAATGCTATAGCATTTGTTATTCTGCATCACAATATAAAGAGACGCTAAAACATTTAAGTCATTTTGCATAACAATAAAAATAAACGCTATAACATTCGTGTCATTCTGCATCACAGTAAAAATGAATGCTATGGTAATTATATCATTTTGCATCACAATAAGAATGATTTCTATGGCATTTATGTAATTTTGCGTCTCCATTAAATTGAGTCTTATAGCATTCACGTCCGTGAACGTGTTAAAGGAATGAAATTGTTCTCCAGAAAAAATTCCGTTCCGGTAGGTAACGTAAGAAAGAAAATTCGATGAGGAGTAGAAGAAGGGGCAGTTTAGCGTCCGTTGCAAAGAACCTGTGAAGAAAAAGAAAAATGATTAAGAAGCGGACGGACGTTGATCCGTCTCGTTGACAGTTTCGCGCGAAGCGTCCCTGAAGGGTGGCTTTCGCCCTTTGAACCGAGCGCCGGAGCGCCCGAGCGGCCGAGCTTTAATGTGTATCACGGGCTGGCTGCCCCCTCTTTCTTTATTCTCCCTGCAGTCTCGGCCTATCCTCATCTGTCCCCGTTCCTCCCTTCATCTCTTGCCCTCTGCCGCTTTTCTCGTCCCGTCCGGAGGGACGATTGACGTATCGATTCCAGTAGGGTGGTGGTGCAGCAGTCTGGCCTTCGCCGTCGTGTCTGCGTGGTCCAAAAGTGCTGGCGTCGTCTCAGCACCGACGTTCTCGTCGTTTTCTTTGTCGATCTAACCGCCGCGTAGCCCGGAGGATCGATGCAGAAGGACCGTTACCAGCGAGTCGGTGTGACTCGCGCGCCTTCCACGTGACGAATCCTCATGGGACCAGCCTTACACGGGACGATACCCTCCACGAGACTTCGAACGAGCACGCGATCCATCTTCGATCCGCCAGTACTCGCGGAAACCCGTCATTCGCATCTTTGGCATTCACCACCGCGAGTTAGACCACGAATGTAAATCGCTGCTGCTGGTGATGCGACGGGTTCGGTCAACGACATCCCTCCGTGGTTCCTCGCGTGCATCCTGACTCTGACGAACGCTTCCCCGGCACGGAATTCCACCCACGGAATTCAACGGGTTAGTTATCGGAACCTCGGCTGTGAGCACGTGACTGATTATCCAGCGGATGGCATCGAAGTTGCTTTTATGTTATTCGTGAAAGTTGTTCGGTTTTCCTAAAATTGATTCGATGAAAAGTGTCGGGGAAATATCAGCGACTCGCACGTGAATTAATTAGAGTTTTCTGTGAAAGTGTCGTGTGATTATTTTGCAGCAATAACCATAAACACGAGTGGATGCACGGTCGTGCATCCTCGACTTGAAAGCCTCTGTAAGTCGAAGCTGTATTCGTTCCCCTTTATAAATTGTCGATAACTTAAACAGAAACAGAATTTATATAAATTGGTCTGTGCAGCTTGAAACACAATTACGCGCATCCTGACGGTTCGCGGAATCCTAATGGCCCGGACATCAATCGACTGTAATTTGTTTCTGTTTCCTTTACATTGCACAAGTCGCCTTGTGCTACATTTCGCTCCGTTGGTTCTCGTAGCAAGCATTCAATGTCTAATTGCGTTGCAGTCGATTCTCCGTTTTAGTAAAAACTTGTAATATTAAATCCGAACGGTGGTACAAACTTTTAATATCGGTATCGAATTTGTTTGAGAACGTTAAATCTCGTTCCTCTCCCACAGCAAATAAAAATTAATATTTTTCCTTGTCCTGTTACTCGTTTTTTTTTAACTAAGTAACAATTTAATTAATAACTCGAATAAATATCACTTTAAATAAAACAGAATAATAAAAAAAAAAAACTGATGAATCCTTCGAAGGAAATATTTCTCTTTCAAGAGACGCGTCTTGAACGTGCGGAAAGCCTTTTTATCCTATACTTTTCTTTCCGTATTTTCTCTTTTTAAACAATCCGATAAGATCACGATCTCGACTACCTTCAAAGGCCACATCCGTTTGCACGTTTGCGTCTTCGATGACATTCTTCGCCAACATAATTTCATTTATAAAGAGGGAGGTGAAACTTCTAAGTTTACGAGACATTTAAATTCATAAAATTCAAGTAAATAAAGATAATCGAACCTACAGGTCGCAATGCAATTTCGCCAACTTTGCGCTAGATTTTATAGGACTAAACATTAAATGTTTGATCTTGGTGCGTAATTGTAAATAAAAATTGCCTACCGAGCTACTTGAAAACCGAAATGTTTGTCGTCTCCCTTAAACTTCGACTTACCGAGGATCCGACTGTATTTGCTTCAAAACGAAACACATATCCAGTGTAACGATAGTTTCTCAAGCAGAAGGTGATCATTTCCAGTGAACGTGCAAGTGACATTAAATCGAACCTCTCGCCAGCCTCCGCATCCGAAATAGCTTGATGTCGACGGGTCGAATTAACGCGCGACGAAATTTAATAGGAGCGTTTAGGGATTCTGTGTTCACTGATAACATTCACGTACGCAGACACACTACACCTCAGCTGGATTTAGATGCGGTGCTCATAGTCGTTGATTTCATGTGGCTCCGTTGGCTGTACTCTGAATGCTGTTGGCACTCTACGGCACTAGGATCGCGTGGACAACTAGCGATTGTTTTGTTCAGGCTCAAGCTACCCCAGAGCCATTAGAAGCAGAAGCAAATCGACGATACATTACAGTTATCGGAGTGCACGGGATTATGAAGAAAATGAACGAAATAAGCAGATAACGACCGTTTAGTCGATCTTTGACGAATTCTTAACCAACGTGACGCTCAACGTGAAAATTAACGAAAGAAATGGATATTAATTTTTTAGACGATCTGTGAGTAATTAATCGTAAACAAAGTCGTTAGAAGCAAAAAGAAATGAGAATGAAAACAAACAAGGAAAGTAAACAATTTTAAAGCATTATTGCAAAGTTATTAGGAGTCAAGGAAAATCGTGAAACGTACTGGTCCAGTTATATGTTGAAAATCAAACAGTAGTCGATCTACCAAAGAGAATTCAGTCATTACAGAAGATGTTGGCGACGTTGAGAACTGTCCGAAGTAATGGAGCGTCGATGAAACGAAGGAAGCAGTAATTGGATTTCACGAATCGAGCGGTTCGAGATCACTTTTCTTCGACTGACTAGAATTCTTTACAATCCATTCGACGACGATTGGAGGAATAATTAAAAAATGTTATAGAAACAGTGCTCCGGAGAAATTCGGAGAACTCGATCGTTCTCGTTGAAACAAATACGTCTTACTTTCGAGCCGTCGAAGCATTTGGCAATCCGAGTAAACTAAGCTCCAGAAACTGTTGACTCTGGCGCCCGTTGATGCACCAATCGTCACGGAGCATCGGATCGTACTCGCTCTACGATGAATCCGAATCGTGAACACCTCGGTTGGAACCTACATTCGCGGTACGATCATGTTTGGTGCAAGGCGGTCAGACGTCGTCCCCAGAATCCCGCGGGAATCGTACGCGTCGGAGAGTCAACTTCCTGACACTAACGCGAGGACAGGACGATCGAACTGGCAACGGGATCGTGAACAGTGTTCCGTACTTCGCGAGCAGCACGGTGCTCGCTTCGATCTCGGTTGGTGAAACGCTCGTTGGACGATGATCCAGGATTGTCTTTGGCGGTGATCACCAGCAGGAACCACGGAGTCGTCGCCACGGATCGGTGGCGATCGAGCTGCAGCTCTGTCGCTCGTACAGGTTGGTACTGCTTCTTGTTCGAATGGGTCGAGTACAGTCTTGGGACGGGAATCTTTAGTTCCAGGATGAGATAAGACTATAGAATAAAAGTCCTTATAGTGCAGTAATAGCTTAGAGTTAAGAAGGGTTGGTGACTACCCTACCTCAATGATATGGCAAATCATTGAGAGGGTTAGTAGTTCCATGTCTCGTAACTTGGCAGGTGTTTATCGCCTTCAACATCTGCTGGTATAGACGGAAGGTCTCAGTACAGCACAGCTTGCGCTTAGGTGCCTGAGAATAGCTGAAAGACACACTCACTTCTTCTTGTACGAGTGACGATCGTTAGCTTTGACGTTCGCGTGACTCTTTGATCGTGTTCCATCTCGGCCCGAGAAGCCGCAGGGGCCCGCCTTTTGCGGCCAGAGAATAGATACAAAGGAAACCGCGATGGCTTTTTCACGAATCAACGTTTCTCTTTTTCTCATCGAGACCGAACGCGGGAACCTGGTTAACCTGATTCATAGATCTTGGCACCAGCGGCGTTGTTTTAATTTCGAATGGAGAAATTCGGGGGGACGAGATGTTTTTAGAACGGTTGACTGAACTGATTCGACCTGGCAGCGCACGCGCTCGAGATGCTCCAGCGGTTAATGGAATTCCATTCCCGAGAATGCCGAAAGAAATTGGATTTATGGTAGTTTTGGTTTACTTGTAACATTGTTACGTCATTGGCTCGAAGATTGGTCGATTTTCAAATGTTTAACCGTTTTACCGTTAACAAATAAACGAATAAAGGAAAAACGTTTATTTCTATTCTCGTGAATATCAGTGTACAGAATATCTTATTCTTAATATTGCGTAAGGATGTCAAGGATGGTTAACTGGCATGTGATCAGATTTAAATATTCGGACACTTTTAACTTGAATATAAACTATATTATTTAATATTACTATAACTATTTAACATAAAAGAACATAAAAACGTGAGCGTAAACCCCATAAGTGACTGTTCTCGACCAGAGTTCGATGCAGAATGACTTTCTGCTGTCAAAGTCGAACCCTCTCGATTCCTATCTATGTACATATTCTAAACAAATGAGTTCATCGATACGGAGGACCCCTTTTACTACGCACGTTCAAGGAGCAGCACCCAAACACATATACACTTCTTACAATTGAATAATACATTTTAACGAGCAATGCTCTTTTTACAAACCTATACAGCTAAAACAGAATACAAAATACTGAAATAATGCAAAAATATAGTAACAGACATGTAGTATACCTTCGCCACTCGTAAGATTTTTTGGATTTTCCTTTTGAGGGTGCCTAGCAATACAAAATACATTAAAAAGATCTATTTCATTCATACGTGTATTATATAATGCAAACATTGCTCTATTTCTCAAATATCTAAATGGTGTGTGTGTTTGTTAGTCGTAAAGTCTACAGAGGAGTTCCTCAAGGTGGGGTGTTCAGTTCTTTGTTTTGCTTAATATATGCTAATGACATCACTCAAAACTTAGACAGTAATCTCTCAATTTGCAGATGATATCACTCTTTTTACACGCTCTAATATCCCTATTGTATCTAAAAAATCTATGGAAAGAGCTATTTCTCTAGTCAGTAGTAGGCTAAACTTATTGGGTCTATCCCTTTCAACCAAAAAAACGGTTCTAATTCTACTCAACGGAAAAGGAATTTTACCTGGTTCCTGTACCGTTAAGGTAGAAAATTATGTAATTATATCGAGTCCGACAGTCAAATTCTTAGGTATTTCCTTTGACTTTCGTTCATGTTCGTAGTTTTTCTCAGAGACTTAATGTCTTTAATTTGTCTCCGGTATTAGATGGGGATCTGACCCAGGCACATTAATTGCGCTATATGTACATATAAAAGCTTAATACGTTCCGTTATTGAATATAATTGTTTTATCTACTTTCCTAAACGTGATTCTCATCTTCTACGGATTGAAAGAGTTCACTCTTGCAGCTATTCGTGTCGCTTTGGGGTACAGAATTAGTACTCCGACTAATACCCCCCTTGTGGAATCCAAATTATGGTTCCTCCAGGATAGGGCGGCGTTCCTGTGTAATAAATTCCTCATCATTAAGTTATCTTACAGAAAATGCGATTTATATGAAGTAATAAACGGACTCTAGAGATCTCCACATTAGAACAACGTACTTCAAAAATCTCTTCCTATGATTCCAACTCAAATTAATTCGCTTCTTCCCCTTAAAGACTTCCTCAAGGTCAAAACTAACTTCCTTTCCTATACCATGAATTATAAGGTTTTATGCTCCAGAGCTAATCTAGACATCGAGCTTGGGGCTCTCATTAGAAACTCTCCTAAGCCCAATATCACCTTTATGGACCACTGGAACTCTAAATCACTCAACTAAATTTCTTTCTTTACTGATGGGAGTCGAGATCATGATCTGGAACGTGTCGGTGCTGCATTCTTTTCTCCTGAACTGAACGCTTCACCTCGTTTAGGTTTAAATAAATTTATTTCATCTTCTACCGCAGAGAGCATAGCAATTAAAAACTCCCTGGAACTCGCTTCTACGCACACCTATGAAAATATCTTTATCTATTCAGATTGCCTTAGTGCTTTGCTCTCAATCTCCAACCCTTACTGTGGAGTTAAATTAAATCTCGTTCTTATTAATATCAAAGTAATTCTTCTGAATCTTTTCCTTCGCGGCACAAAAATTTTCTTTTATTGGATTCTGGCTCACTCTGGTATTTGTTTTAATGAGGAAGTAGATAAACTGACAAAGGAGGCCTCTAGTCTTCCTGCTAGGATTTTAAAGTTTAAAAATACAAACAACACGTATTTTGGCGAGGAATATGTATAAATTCTAACAATATTGAAAAAGTTGTTCCTTGACCCCGTAAAGTGACAAAAACTCCATAAAAATGGTCCCATTTTCAAACGGCCATAACTCCTACAATAGTGAATATATTGGATTGAAATTTTAGGAGAAAGTATAGTTCATAGATATCGACAAAAAACTATTGAATAACTTTTATGTAGAACATCAAACAAAATTACTAAAAATCGAAAACGAATTTCTAAGAAAAATCGACAGGGAGCGAAAAAAAAAATTTCAGATCGTTCTAAAAAAATTATTTTCGATCGCGGGGGTTAATTACAATAATAATTGGTGAATAGACCTACTGCCGAAATCCTATCTACTTTCTAGAAAAAAATTCAGTACGAGCGAAACTTTAAACGTTAATGACTTTTTAACTCTTTCTACGTACTTTCGAGAAAAAAATTCATTACTGAAATTATAATGTGTGGTCAGAAATGTTTTATGAATTTTATTGAATTTTACTATAACTGAATAAAAAAATCTGCGGTAGGTCTACGTATTTGCATATTGATTCTAAGATTTCAGAATGTTGTCGTTAATTTATTCTCAGTTCATTTCATTTCTCAATTAAGTATGCCTTATTTGTTATTTTTACAGAGAGTTTGAGATATAAAAGTTTAATGGTTCACGATGTTATGGAGTTTTATTATTTCACGCGACATTTTAGTCCCGTACTCAGACTACTCTCAGAGCTTTAAAAGGTCGGCTAAGTCCAAATCTGAAAGTCGTTTACTTGTATACATAAGTCACTTACAAAGGTTCAAAATATTCCGAACAGTATTATATATCGGTCCCATGGTTCACAAACAAATCTCTTTCCAAAAAATTTATTACTTTTAACCATATTCAACTGGCCTTCCCTCTTTATAAAATCAATCTTGCTTCTGATCCCAAATGTAGTTGCGAATATCTTGAACAAGAGCCTAATCATATTATCAAGCAATGCCCACAGTTTGATATTGGCAGAAGTGAAATGATTGCTAAACTACGTTCATTAAACTTTTTTCCCCCTTACATGACTAACACTTTTCTTTTTCAACCAAGTATCTCCTCGCTAATGGTTATTTTCAAATTTCTAGAGAAGCATTGTGTAAACAGGGTATTCGGCCACCCCTGAGAAAAATTTTAATAATGGATTCTAGAGGCCAAAATAAGACGAAAATCAAGAATACCAATTTGTTGATTGGTTTTTAACGAAGGCTTCGTTAAAAAGTTATTAACAATTAAATTCAAAAATTTCAAATCGTTTTGGAAAAATTATTTTCGGTTGCAGGGGTCAATTATAATCATTTTTGGTGAATAGACATACCCCCGAAATTTTGCGCATTTTGGAGAAAAAAATTCAGTACGGGCGGCACTTTAAACGCTAATAACTTTTTAACGAAGCCTCCATTAACAAATTAATATTCTTGATTTTCGTCATATTTTGGCCTCTAGAATCCCTCATTAAAATTTTTCCCTGTATATTTAATCTAGACCAACTGCTGTCCTCCTGTAGTATATAATTTTTTTATCGATAAATGGGTAGAGATAATCTAAATGTATATCCTAATCGTGTTGTGCATTTATATGCATTGCTAATAATCCTGTAGAAGGTTACACAGCATTCAATAAAAAAAAAAAAAAATGGTGTGTAGAAATTTGCGAATGCCAACAATGATGGACAATTTATGCTATTATTTACTAATTTGAACAATAATAGCGATTATCCTTTGGTGTTTAAGGGTGTCCAGGCGAAGAATATATGTATAAAATCTTAAGAATTTATGCTGCACACCTACAATTATTCTAATTTATTTATGGAGGCGTACTCTAACGAACGACGAACCAAAATAATATAAAGCAAACAAATAGCGTCAGCGTTCCGAAATCCTTTGTTTTCACAAGGGGACCTTACAGTCGTGGGCATTGCGTTTGAAATGATAGGTGGATGCAAGTTTTAGTATACACATAGTATCAAAAACCCTTAATAGCGTTCTTCACAATGGGCCTTCGTTTTCCAGATATTTTGATTTAATATTTGGCATACATCTAATAAAAAAATTACATATATTTATTTTAGAGAGGAAGATGTAGTTGAGTCGGTAGAGCGATTAGCTACGAAGCTTTTGGTAGTGGGTTCTCGAATCCCCA